AACAATTGAAGATATAAATGTCAATATATATCTGATTTGAGGCCTCATAAAAAAATTAGAATTGTTTGGGCAGGATTTTACCGCAGTGTTATTAAATTTTCACTTGGCGCTTGTACGCATGCTAACTTCTAGATTACTACAGTGCGTACAACCCCACGGGAACGATCCCAAGTTTGTAACTTGTTCTAAAGATGTTCTGAGATTAACCCCTTACACAGATGACCGAGAATTTCACTTTATTACAGCTAAAGAGTTGTTTGGTTCTCCTGGTACACAATTAATTCATATTTTCCCCACAAAGATGTATCTTATTTACAAAAGTATCATAAAATAATCAGTGAATTCAATACGTTTTGTTGAACTCTGCTTGAGCTGTAGTTGATATTCATCAATAAATGTAATGTTTTAGACAATCATAATTTTACTGAAATGTATTTTTATAAACTGTTTATTAAATACTACTATTATATTTTTGATTCAACTAAACATTGTCAATTCCAGATCTTAAGAGTCTTCATCAGTGGTAGCCATATTGGATTTTAATCCCATAAGAGCACAATGTTAGCTTTGTAACAGAATTTCTAAAAATCCTGTTGTGATAAAATAATGAATGAGGTGTTAAAATTTAGGTTTAGTGGTCCTCTAGGGAGTGAGGATTTTAGTTTTGTCATTTTTCCTCCACTTAATAAGTTAATGATAATTAATTTAGCCTTTAATTAAATAATTTATTAAGACAAGACAAAAACAAATATTTTAAATATAATTTCCTCATTTTCTAGTACTCTTTATTATAAACCTAATTGTCAATTTTAAAAACTATATTTTTATAAATAACACAGGCATGCTGCTTCAAATGATGGTATATTTTGTCAAATTTAATATTGCTCTTATGGGACTAAAATCCAACATGGCTACCATTGATTAAGACTCTTATGTTTGATGTAACATTTATGAATGAATTAATAAATTAATTAGTAAATTTTGAGTATCATTGTTCCCATTGTCACGTTGTTTTTGCCAAATTATACACGCGAACCATTCATTTTCAAAATAAACTCAGTTCCAATTAAAAGCCATGATATGTTGCCACAATCAACATTGGAACTGTGATTAAGGCAAATAACAAGAAGTGATTTCGACCGAGCAAGTTCGTAGATGAGTTTGAGTGAAACTCATTAATAGAAACATTCATTAGACTTGAGTTCCAACAGTCTGTACACGTAAATCAAATACTGATCCCTTTGTGTCTGTCAGTAGGTTAAAATTAAGAGGTTATATAGAGTTTCAGATATTACATTCATTACTGCCCTAGTTAATTTTCAAATATTCCATTGTTGTGGAGTTGCATTTTAATATACATTTGTTATCATGAAAGTTTGGTGTCCATGGAAAATCAACTTCAATATCACTTAACTCACGTGCTACTTACATTGTATGCATATTAATATTACAATGCTTACGTCTTATCAGCGGTAGTATTGATTTTATAAAACAGAGAATGAAATTGTATGGAATAAAGTCAATGGTGACAACGTATACTGCTGTGAACTTTAACATGGTATTTGAGTTATCACTTCACGGTAATGAATCTATCCACATACGTCATATGACATACAACAAATAATATTACAAATACAGTATTTAGAACTATTGTACTTGTTTAATTTTAGCGAATTTTCCTATAGGGAAGTAGCTATTACCGTAGGTGGCACGGTAAGACCTAGACCCGGGACCGATTTACTTTTTCATTTTGATGTCCCCAGAGGCCAAAAACACTATTCGTTCAAATTTTTATATATGTATATATATATATATATATATATATATATATATATACGTCCGTGAACGCGATAACTTGAGTAATTTTTGTCCGATTTTGATGAAATTTGGTTTAAAGGTGTAAAGCGGGATAAACTTGAATGAGTTCGCGAACCAGCACGATCGGACCATGGGAACGGGGCTTTACGGGGGGTTTTATGGGGTAAAAATTGGTTTTTCTCACTTTTGACCCTCAAAACACAAAATTTTTCCCGATTTCTCTTTAGACCTTTTTAAAGAGCTTAAAAAAAACAAATAATTTAGTATATAAAAGTATTTTTGTTCGATTATTAGTAACGGAGAAAATTAAAAAAATTGTAAATTTAAAATTCCCATGTTATTCTTAAGGAGAATATTGTCAAATGTTGTAGTTTGCTTGTTTATGAATATATTTTGATCAAACTTGGCAAATTTATTTATTTTGTACTAAGCTATCAATATTTTACTCAAAAACACACTTTATTAGTTTCCTTGTAGCAGCAAACCTAGGTACTCGTTAAACCTAATGTTATTAAAATATATTTAACTGAAAATCAATTCAGACAAATGGAAATTCGCTTACTCGGCAGGTTTGCTGCGGCGGGGGTATTTCATTTTGAGGTCCCTAGAGGCCAAAAACACCATCCGTTTAAATTCATATATAAGTTTATACAAAATTTTACCAAAATCGGACCATTTTTGCTCGAGTTATCGTGCTGACGGTGTAAACCTACATTTTTTCGAACGAGTTCGCGAACCAGCATGATCAGACTATGGGAACGGGGGTTTATGCGCGGTTTTATGGGGTGAAAATTGGGATTTCCCATTTCTGACACCAAAAAACATAGAATTTTGAAATTTCTTTCTAAACCATTTTGTAGAGCTTATAAAACAAATTATCTAGTATACTGAACCGTTATCATGCGCCTAATGGTTACGGAGAAAATTCAAAAAAATTGTAAACTTAAAATTCCCATGTTATTTTTAGGGAGAATAAGTATGTTGTAGTTTTCCTGTTTATGAACGTATTTTGAAATTGGATTTTCAAATTTGGAAAATGCATTCATATCTTACTAAACTATTAACATAAAAATGCCCCCTCCCTGTTGCAGCAAACCTATGTACTCGTTAAACTAATTATATTTAAATAGGGAATAAATGTGATATTTTTAAGGAGACATTTAAGTGTAAATCCAATCAGGCACATGGAAAATCGCCTAGTAGGTTCGCTGCGGCGAGTGTATTTCCATTTTATAATGTTCGTGCCTTGAGCAACCATTCCTCAATATACATTCTCCAAATTCTCTTTATAAATAACTTTCTGTTAATAATAAACTTTAACATCAACTAATATTGCCGTAGGCCATGTCGATAGCACATACTTTTACTTGTTATCTTTAGATTTGCCTTAGGCCATTTTAGTTTTTGATAATGTAAAAACTTCCATTTTACAGCTTTGGCAATAAGTAGGCTATATAAATATAAATTCTATTAAATTAAGTTGCGGACTGCAATAAAGGAAGTAATTAATCTCGGTGGCACTCATTACAAGTTGATGAGACAACTGCAATCTGTTTCTGTCTATTTTAATTTCTCTTATTTTCAGGATAAATAAATAATATAGTGGCTAATAGTGGCAATAATTTTAACATTTAAAACAATTTGCAAGTATATGAGAAAAATAAGTTGTTAACTATTGTGTTTAAATAAAATGTTGAAAACTTTGTAAACTATTAAGACTATTGGGGGGTTAAATTTGCTTACTATGGCGTGAGTATCGTTGTAAAACTAAGGGTTGCACGGGTTCTCTTGTAAGTAAAATGGCCGAACAAAGTTTTTTTATATATAAATAACTGATCTAAAATGTGTACCCCCAAAACTCAATGCCATTGCTTATGATTAGTAAATTTCCAAACAACTATGAGCTATTTATCTGTGTCAATAATTTCTTACATAATCATAATTTGCAACCTATAGAATTTTATATTTCCCACCCACTATAGAATTTTTAAACTCCCATCTTAAGAATGCATAATTTCAAATTTCGTTGCGTGCATATTTTTATTCATTATAAAATGACGCAGTCTTAAGGATTCACAGTCAACGGTATTATATTGTCTGTGGTGGTATGTTTTATTATTCGCGCCTGCATAACAGTTTTGACAGTTCGCATTCCTTAAAGAATTGCGTGTTGATTTCACTTATTGAAGGCGCGAAACCTCAACTTGCAAAAAAACCATTGATCATTTTATGAATAGTCAATAATTGAAATTAGTGTTTTTGATGTCTACGTTATGCTCCTGCCTGTAGCTACTTCATTTTAACGAATGTTTACAAACCTCACAGGTTTTAAGTAGGAGGTTATTCAATTGCTACTAATAATAATATTACAGTACGTTTACCAATTAATTTGGGTTATTTAAGGTTAATTAGGGTTTAGGGTTAATTAGGGGTGGGGGGGGGGTTTACCTCTTGTTGTAATTTAATTAGTTTTAGATACTACTGTAAATGGTAGGGCATCAGTAGAGTAGTGTGGTTTTAACATATCCATGTCAAGTGTCCAAAGACTTATACCTAGACTTTTAACGACTTGAGACTTGGATTAAAAAAGGCAAGGTTAACGTGTACTGAAAATACCATTCTCAATGGTTCCTGAGAATCAAAAGGAGTCATAGATTGTATTATTAGCTAGGAGTAGCATTCAGTTAGAACTAAGTTCAATTATTAACTGAATAAAATGGTAATATACAGAATTAATAAACATACTCACTTAATCATGGTACTTCTTATGTACCACACTTAACTGTTTTGACTATAATACGCACATTATTTGAATAAACGTTTCTTTTAATGGCAGTTTCAACTTATTTTCAATATTACAACTTATTAGCTTATTTACAATGCATTAAAATCACCATCAACCATTCAAAAAAGTGACAAGGCTACATTCAATTTATTTAATTAAAAAGGTGTATTTTAGTAGCCGTGAATACTGTTTTAGTACACAATTGCAGACTCAGACATAGCCCAAACTCACCGAACAAAAGAAAATGTATTAATCAAACAGTTCAAAAATATTTATTGCTCAATAAATTAAACAGTTGGCAGAATATAGGACTTGGCAATATGATCTCTGATTAATACTCCTTACAATGAAGCAAAACTAGAGAAACAAGGTATTTAAATTACAAATAAAATGCTTTAAAAAACTAATTTTTTATTAAAATTGGATGGAAAGATCTTTCTCACTTAAATTAAATACATGCACGAAGGACATGGATTCCTATGGGGGTAACAAAGTATACAAAACAATCTTTTGTGATGTTAAAAATCATTCGTTTTGTATAAAATCTAAAAACCCAATATTAGGTACAATTAATTATATTTGTTAAAATACACTGCCTTCATATATATGAAAACTGGCACATAAAAAAGAAACTAAAACAAATGAAATCTGCAGGTTAAAATTTAAAACATATACTTTTTTTATTTATATGGTAACTAAACCCAATAGCTTATCTAGTGGGAACTGAAAAGTATTTAGTACTGTGTGTTCAATTTCAGACAAACTGGGGAAATAATAGCGTCCCTAACCCTCTATATATCTCTCACTTTCCATCAAAAGTGTTTTTATCAGTATTTGCTATTTCTAAGAAATAATCAACAAATGCTGATGCTTTATAAATAGTTGTACTGTTTTGTAGGAATGTAGCACAACTTTATATAGAGACGAGATAATTAACACATTCACTACCAGGTCTCACAAAGCCCCTCAAGCAGACGAGATTTTTGTAGTATGTCAGCTGATAGACAACGTGTTAAAAGGAATGGTGGAGGATAGAAAGAAGAGGTATCACCTCTAGGTTCCGGCTCCTCAAATTCAAAAAAACAATTACTAGTAACGACTAATATTAAGCAGCTTTAACTTTTACAGATTGTGAAAATCCTATACATCTAATGAAAGACTTGACGGCGTAGTAGGCGGCAGCTAAGACAGCCAGTACTGTGATGATACAGAAGGCGGTGACGTCCAGCAAGTAGTACTGGTACCAGGTGAGATCCACAGCTGCACTGCGGAGGTGAGGAGCTCCTTTGTGACGTATCACGTACTCCGTCCAGAACACAGCTGTGTCCAGCGGACTCATGGGACGGTCCTGGAACCTCTGGGAGAGGGCCTTGGCATTCTCGGTGTAGCTGTATAAAGAATTGTTGGTTAGTAGTTGAAGGAACGTCACTGGAAATTTCGATAAACTTGTATAGAATCAAGGCGTTTCTACTGCAGCACCTGGTTAGGTTGAGGTAGAAGAAATATATATGCAATCCCAACATTAGTGATAAATAGCGGTTTTGCATGGTATATGAATTTGAGAAGTGATGTGCATTAGTTTTCTATACAACAGCATATAGAACGTCTGCTATATAGAATTCTGGCATAGCAACAAATTTATCGACATGTCACTGGTCGACATGTCACTTGGTCGACATGTCACTTTGTCGAAAAGCCACTTCGTAGACATGCCACTTGGTAGACATGTCACTTGGTCGACATGTCACTTGGTCGACATGTCACTTGGTCGACATGCCACTTTGCCGACATACCACTTGGTAGACATGCCTCTTGGTCGACAATCCAGTTGACCGACATTTCAAATTAACTATGATGAACCATTTTTTCGAAATGAAATTTCATAGTCAAGCCAGTTAACTAATATCACGTATCTAGTGGTGAAGATGGGCAGACCTACAGCGCATACAATAAGAGCGGTTACTACAGTTGTATTATTTTAGTTCATTTATTGTTGTACTAAGAGACGATTCAGATACATGCAAATATTGAGTTCATTGCGACAATTATTTTTAAAATATTAAAATGCATCACACCTCAAATAAAAATGCACTATGATTAAATATATAACTACGCAACTTCCCTTCTTCAACTGAAGGTAGCACATGATGACCCGATTTCAACAGTAAGTCAACAGCCATACAAAATGTTCCACTCACCCAGTGTCCGTCAACAGCTGCCCTAGAGCCCATTTGATGGATGAGGCGGTGATGTTGTTGTAGTCTATGTGGATCGCGACTCCCTTGTCTACCAGAGCCGCCACGTTGTTGGGTTGGTCTCCGTACATGGGGATGCCGAGGATTGGCACCCCACTGACCACAGCTTCTGTTGTGCCCAGAAGACCTCCGTGGGAAATAAACAACTTCACAGCAGGATGAGCTGTCACAACATGCAGTCAAATGTTTTAATGTGCTTATTTAAATGTTCGTAATTTTATTTCTTTTAATTTTTCCATGTTATTCTTGTATCATTTTTGGAGGAGGGTGTACCGGAATACAAATAAACAATTACTAGCTTAACGATATATATATCTCATAATGGAAGAAGGTGAGATAGCTATAAATGTTTAGTATGTGTCACCTAATAGGAAAACTCAAAATACAGTACTGATTTCTTGAGCATTGAAACATTGAACATATCGATAAAAACTACACTAACTAAAACTGAAACACCTGTGAACCAACCTAACACATCTCTCTGAGGGAGCCACTTCATGATCTTGACGTTATAGGGGATGTTGTCCATGGTGTCGTCCTCCCACTTCCACAGTACACGGTAGATGCTATAGCCGCGGAACGCCTCCAGGAACGCGCGCACCTTGTCTGACGGGAGAGTGGCTCCTCGCAGCATGGACCCGAAGGAGAAGTAGATCACTCCAGCGGGACTCTCTTTCAGCCACGAGTCCAGCTCCTGGAACAACCGATGATTAAGGTACGCAAACAATGATTTTGTGACTATGAATATGAAATATGTTTTTGCTAGGCTACACAGTGAGCAGGTTGCTGTACTCTTTGCAGAGAAAAAAACAGTATTTTTCATTAAATATCTCATTGAAATCAGCTGGGGTTCTGTAGATTTCATTCTTTTTTCAAAACACAGAGGATACGCGTCCGGTAACCAGACGTGGATTAGGCGTCCGGTAACCAGACGTGGATTAGGCGTCCGGTAACCAGACGTGGATTAGGCGTCCGGTAGGGGGTCCCGGAACGCCATTACCACAATGATACGATGTTCAGCCATCAGTGTTCGTGGTGTAGTGGATAGAGTGCTCGGCTGAAATGCGATAGGTCCCCGGTTCGAAACCCGTCGGTATCTTTAACTTTTTGTCACAGATTTTGCTTTGAATGTAATTTCTTCTTAACTGTACATCTTTTGTTAGAATTTTCGGCATTTATAATTTTATGTTATGAAGAGAATTGAACCTTCATTTGATTTTTTTCACTATCAGCAAGTTTGGTTGGTTAGGTTAGGTTATGACAGTAACTGCCGGACGCCTAATCCACGTCCGGTTACCGGTCGCGTATCCTCTGCGTTTTCAAAAAGCATACGCTTCTTCAGTATGCTCTAAGACAGGTGCATTATATTTTCACAATAAATATTGGAAAGGTTAAAATCCAAAAGAAAGTTTAAAATATGTTTAAATGTTATACGCAAATTGAGTATATTATCATGCATCATGTTGTAATAGTACATATAGGTTGTGTTTTACTTTGTATATTAATTTGTTTCTGGTAGGCTGACGCAAAGTACCGTACACACACCTGCATATACACCTGGGCGGGTGTCAACCATATACTCACACAAAACTCCGTGCTCCCCATCACAACACCTACATCCCATACTTTTGGCTTGTTATACTATTTCTTACAGTTACCTAAAAAGTGTTCATTTTGCAAAAGATTTGCTTTTTAAAACTCGCCCACTGCTGTACTTTTCTTTTTAACATAAACCAAAATAATTTCAAACCACTCATCCAATCTCACTATTGTCGTATTGAAAACGTAATCAATAACCCAAAATAAATAAAGTTCGAGACAAGGTCATATCTATTTATTTATTTCAATGGCAACCACCATATACATGAGTATCATGAGTGTATTAATTCTGACAAGTCAAGTAAAAAGGAAAAATTATTCAAAATGGAAATTCACTCTATGATGCATTAAGATATGCAAAACCATATATCTTATAAGCAGATGAGTTCATGAAGAATGTGGGATTTTAATGAAGTATGAATAAATCTTCATTCCAACCGCATAAAAAAAATGTACTAGCTTATAATGATGAAAAATACATAAACGTGATATAAATAGAAAATAGACAGCTAAAACATAAAATCTATTTGTACTAAGATTTATGGAACCAGCCGACATGGGCAGCGAGCCTGTGCATCGAATGAGTTTGACTCCATAATTTTACTGTTAGCTAAATTAGAAAAGAAAGGAGCTAAATGAAGGAGGAAGGTTATTAATACAATATGAGTGATATGAAATTACAATAATAATAGTTAGAATTACAAAAAAATAAATTACGAACAAAAATATTAAATTTTAGAATAAAGTAAGAAATTTAAACAATAGAGCGAGCTTCTGGTGTCTGTAATCAGCTGTGATGGTAAGCTCAGCCTCGTACCTGGGCCAAGTAACCAAGTAACCACTCATCAACACGACATTTCAATCTCTTTCAAGAGCGGGAGTCAAAGAGTTAACACTGTGAAAATGTTGTATCTGGCGAATACAAATAATATGTATTATTTTTATTGATGGAGCATAACGTTGAAATATGGGCGAAAGAAAGTAATGTTCATTTACCTCACAGAAAATATTTACAAAACGATATGTCAAAATTCATGGATGCCGAAATTAGTTTTGTTACACAAAAACATATTATATGTTAAACAATCCTCAATTAAAACTGTACTACCTGAGAAAGAGGCTTCGCAGGTTTCAGATGTATGCCACTAATATCGACCACCTGAGGAGGGTAGGGATGTGGTGCAAACATGCTGGAATGTGTGTTGATAAAGTACAAACTGGTGGTTTTGATCATCTCTCCAACAGGCGGCATGTCACTTCCGAAATGTTCTCTGGCAATCTTTGTCATCAGGGGTTCAAGGGAAAACCGATACAACGCCTTCCCGCCCAGATCCAGCACCACATTGTGAAGTCTCTGGATAAAATGCATCTTGTCAGAGTACCAACTGTAGAATCCCGGGAAACTAGCGGGATTTGCCGGGATAGCGAATCTATCTGGGACATACGGAAACATGTAGCAGGAGCCAATAGCGATCACGGGGGCTTTAAACTTGTGTGCAAACCCGAGAAACAAGTCGTCTATAAACATCTCGTAGATTATTAGGTCAAAAGTGGAGTTGGACGCGATGAGATTCCTCACTTCAGGTACATTCAGCACCTTAGTCGTGTCTTCTATGTACGTCGTGAACTTGCCAGCAACATCCCAGAAGGTTTCTGGTATTTTTGAGAACGACGAAAACTCGAAACTGTCCACTATAACTTTTCTGACGGACGCGACGCTGATTTCTGTCAGGTTTTGCACGGGCTTTTCGCGAGGAAATGTGGTTATCAGTGTTACACGATGACCTCTATTCAAAAGTTCGTCTATGAGCGCACCGAACGGAGCAAAATGACTTTTAGACAAGGTAGGGGTTACTACTAAAACGTCTGAGGCGTACGCGGTATACACTAGAGCGGATATAACAAGCACTGACCTAACCCAACCACCCATGACGTAACTCACTCACTCACTGAACCGGTATTAGCACTTGTGTGTGCAATTGTAGCAATGTGGGGCCTTGAGAGGAACTGCTGGCTGGCTGCAGTGAAGAAGAAGAGTTGGTGGGGGTCAAATGAAATGATGCGGAGAGGGGATACTGAGAAGAATCAGCTGGTAACTGGTTTGTCGCCGATATATAGCTATCAATGATCTTACATAAGTTCGATTCATCCGCGGAAATGATCTGTTCATTCTTAAATAAGTGTACGTCGCTAAATTACTTTTTCATACAGTTACCTGACAAAGCGGGCTTTCTTGTGGGGGGTACTGCTTATAGCACGCAAAGTAGCTAATTGCTGCATTTACTTACTTTTGCCGCTCTCATTTTTATCTAGCCGCACTCCAGTATTCCAACCAAACAACAACAAAAAACATTATGCTTTTTTTAGGCAAGAAATACGTATACGCTTGAAAATAGGTCGGCAACACTAAAATATACTACGACTACGTTCAGCTGGTGCAGTGCTTCCCATTTCGTTCTACGGGTGGATTAAACCTAATCTAAAACTTGTTGTTCAGTGTTTGAAAGACTGATTATTGCTATACTTTATAGTAACTGTAGGAAAAATATTCTTTGTAACACGAGCGCAAAGTGCCTTTAATGCACTCGAGAAACTTTCCACACTCCTCCTGCGTAAACATATCACATATGTGCAGCAAAGTGCCACTTCGCTCACTAGTTACATAAATAACAAGTGGCAAAACTAAATAGAGCGAAAACCTTCTCTGCTGATCGAGACGAGATTCAAAGTACTTCCCTAACTTTTTGCAAGAAAATTGTAAACAAACCTTAATTTTTCATTGCGTGCTGAAGAGGATAAATAGAGACCTGAATATGAAACTGAATAGGGAAATAATGAAATATGAATATTATTTCACAATAAACTATTTTCACAAATTATTCGAAATTCGCTGTTTAATTTAAAACTGTAATATTCTAAATTTGGAAGATACAAAACAGTTTTGCTTGTAAGTTGACTCTCCAATAACACTAAATACAGATACGATCTGAATAAAATTATCAAGCGCTGAACCCTAGCTTATTCAGATAACCTTAGACCCACTTTCATTCATGGTGTGTCGACTGTATACAATTATACTACATTATACAAACCATAGTTAATATTATTGTTAAGAGAGTATAGTTGTGTTTATAGCTCGCGGGGATAATTCTATTTTTATCCAAAATGTATATACATTAAATTTGAAAGCAGATCGTAAACATGTATTGTACCGGACAATGTTGCTAAATGCTTATGAAAAAGCTCTTTATTATTAAAGCTATCTATAAATACCCCCGCTGCAGCAAACCTGTCGACCAACCGAATTTCCATTTGACTGGATTGATTTCCAATTAATCTATTAAATTAGGTCTTACCATGTGAGACCTACGGTAATAGCTACTTCCCTATAAGGAAATTCGCTAAAAACAGAGAGAGTATTTTTTTCAACTTTAATATCTAAATTTCCAAAATATTCTTTAACACAAAAATCAAAATTTTACTCTGAGTGCTTGATATATAAAAATAATTTTGAGCGTTAGTCAAGCCAAAGGGCAACTTTCCATCCTATCAATACGGATGAAAAAGCACCTGTTTCTGTGTAGTATAATGTAAATATTATTTACTGTCATCAACAACATTGACTTCCTAAACTGTAAACTATGCTAAACTGTGCTAGGCGACCGTGCTCACTGCTTTACAGTATTTAATTGTTGCAGCACCTGATAACCGAACGCCATGTCAGATCAGTTGTTAACATATAATTAACATGACTCATACAAATAATTTAAAGACGAGTCATATTAACCCTTACACGTTTAGTGTACGTACAAAACAATAGTCACCTGGTTTAAAGGTTTAGGAGTTCTGACGTGTATTCCTCCAACTTGAACAACTTGCGGAGGTAAAGGCTTGGGGGCGTAGAACGTGGGGTGAGAATTGACGAGAAACAAACTACAACTCCTCACGATCTCATCCAAAGGAGGGAAATCTGGTCCGAAATACTTCACAGCCATAGTTTGTGATATTCTTTGTAAGACTAGTTTATGGTAAAGTTTTGCAAGTGAAACCTGAAAGTAGTGCAGAATAAATATCTTCGATAGCTAAGAAACCCTGATACATCCTGTAAAATTTGAGAAAGATGTATTGTTCTTCTAGTGATATTCAAATGTTGATTGGGAGTAAGAAAATGCAAGAACAGATTTTATTTTTATTATGAGAGAGAAATGATCTTTTCAGAAATTTAGAAATTTGCTAGAGCTATGAATACTCTTGAAACAAGCGAATGTAAGTTAATGAGTTCTCAATATAGGGGAACCTATGCATTATAAAAGAGTGTGGAAATGGAAGATATTCACAAAGCACTACCTGCAGGACATTCACTGTCCTCTCCAGGAACCCCATGTCCTGGGTGAAGGCACTGAACAGGTTAGGAGAGAAGGTAATACTTCCAGGACTCCCGTACCTATCCATCGCCCAAGGCATGGGGGGACAGGAACTGAAAGTCACTAAGGGAGCGTTGAAAATGTGAGCGAACCCGAAAAACACATCACTGGTAAACTCTTCAACTATAACCAAATCAAACTTCTCTCCAGATGTTTGCAGTTTTTTGACACTATCAAGCAAGAATATGTTTTCATTGTCTTTTATTTGGGTTTTGATCGTCCTGAGCACATTGTAGAAGGATACAGGTATGTGCGGGAAGGAGTCTAGACTCCAACTGCCGTTGAATTTCTCCTTGGCTTGTTGGATGTCTATGTGTTGGTACTCCCCGGGTCCACTGAGAGGGTAGGCACTGACCAGGGTGATGTTATGTCCCCTGGACACCAGCTCCACCAACAGGGGCTCGAAGACGTTGAAGTGGCTGCGGGAGAAGATGGGGAACACCCCGAGGATGCGGGCACAGCGGCAGCTGGGGAGTATCAGAAGAAATAACACACCTTGGGTCTTCATTGTGGAAAGTAGAGTGGGGGATCCCTTACAGTGGGTGTGATGCAAGTAGGCCTATTTCGCAATCTTCAAGAATGAGCACAATTTCCTGGATTTCAAAAGTCTGCCTATTAACTACATCGATACAAAATAACTAACTGGAGAACTTTACAATTTGATAGCTAGCACATTGTGCAACACTACAAAATGGTATTTCGCATATACTATTTCTAACAATAGAAAGATAGTTTTCAAATGAGACAAAATTATTTTTACGAGACACCTAAAAAACACTGGACACAAAGAGTTGAACAGAGTACGACAACGACCAAAGGCGCGACGTCAACTGACAGACTGACAACACGCAGCACTCAATAATGATGACGTTGAGCGGCAAGGTTAGAGATTACACCGTCCTAGATACATCAGTTGAGTCGGGTATTATTAGCCTGCACTTGTGAAGTGGCTACCAGCCAGTGGCTTGTAACGCGGAAGTGGCTGCCAGCCAGTGGCTTGTAGTGCGAGTGGCTGAAAGTTGGCTCAACAATGACTTGCTGATAATGTTTATCTTCTCCATTGGGAAACGCAGATTAAACACCGGGGACTGGCGTCTCCATTTTGATGTTTGCAATCATTTCAATTGAGCTTTGTTTACATGAACTTCAACGCGTCAGCGTAATTGATTTATGATAAAAGTATTTCATTACAGTAATACTAATAACAGGCATACTTTTCATCAATGTATTCTCGTTAAGATTATTTGGCCAGATGAATTTGATAAGTGTTTCACAGGGGGGGGGGGTAAGGCTTTATTTTTTGATCGACTCGGTATAACTATACAGTAGTAATGAGTGGTAATGAGGTGTTATATTAATGTAAATGATAAATCAGTTCTATCAGTTCAATTAACAACATCAAATGTAATTATTATTATGAAATTAGGGATGTATACATATAATATTATAGATTTCGCCATTATTAAAATAATCTCATCGTTTGGAGAGAAATTTTAACAAATAATTAGAAAACGTGCTTATTCGACTATTTTTGTAAAAAAAAAACATCTAAAATTAGGCCTACTATAATGATAATATGAGAAATTTTACTACGAATTTAATGAAACCCAATCTATTTACAGAATATTTTACTGCAAAAATTGACCTTAAATAGAGTTCAAGTTTTACATAAACAAAGATGGGATAGATCCACTGATATTAGACGTAAAGACCCACTTAGGGACTGTAACAAGATGATTTGCTTCTCAACACCACATTCACTATTAGAGAAAGAATAATTTAAAGTACACAGAATAATAAAAGGAAAAATCCAATGAAAATCAATGCATCTTCAATAGCGATACATTTTTGGCTTTAACGTAAACAGGCAAAGGTCAGTGACAGCAATAAATGACTACTTGTTCCACGACTTGATGATTCAACATAACAGGTCAATGACAATGCAGTGTAAACAGCTGATCTGAGCATATGTTTGGTTATCAGCTGTTGCACCAATGCTGTGCAGTGAAAACGATCTTCTAGCACAGTTTAGCAGTTTTCAGCTTTGACTATAGAGTTAAGGAAGTCAATGTTGCTGATGACAGTAAATAAAATTAACCTTCATAAACTAAATAGTGATGGTACATTTGATGAACGTTTAGGAAAGCCATAGCTTAAGAGGGATATTAGAGTAAAAACTGTATTTATTGTTGCCAATACAAGAACAACTACAGTGTATTCTTTTTCCTACAGTTACCTAACAATGTGCATGTTCTCTCACTGATTTGAGAAAGCAAAGTGGCCAATTCGCTCATCAGTGAGACAATGTTAACATTGTCTCACTCTAATTACTTTGTCTCACTCCAGATTTGCAACGTGAAGGCACGAAATAGTGTACGCGTAACATGCAGGCAACGTCGTATGCGCGCGAAATACGTTGGCAGCACTGGCTGTAAATCAGCTGGTCAGCTGTTGTACTGTTGTATTCGTCACTTCACATTAAATGTTATATTAAAAGTTCACTTCTGTGTAAAAATAGGTTATGTTTCTTCACCAATTTATTTATTTTATGGTAACTGTAGGAAAAATATAATGTGCAACTCGAGTTCAAAGTACAATTGCCTCACTCGAGAAACCATTCCTCACTCGCCTACGGCTCGTGAGTAAGGATATCTCTCGAGTGAGTCAATTGCTCACTTTTCTCACTAGTTGCACAAATAACTATTCTCTGTACCTGGGAACCAAAGTTAACAAACTCGGTAATAACAGTGACAATCTTCCGTAGTCATGTACAATAGAAATGCAGTCCTTTTATCTAGTGGTTTCTCACGACGAATCCATTAAACGGCAAAGACTTGCTGTAAGACTTCCTAACAAGGCCTCTCCATCGATGTAATAACTCCCTAGTAGAGTAGGGTGAGTATACAGGGCGAGTTTTAAATGAGTTTCCCCTTACTTTTTTCTACATTTTTTAAGATATCAACTCCAGACCACGTCAGATCATTGTAGAATAGTAAGTACTTCATTTTGACTGGGTATACATTTTTGGCTGCCATCTTGGATCCGCCATATTGGATACAAAAAAATTTCAAATGTAAAGGTAGGGTTGTGGCCCATCTTTTCAAACTAAATTTTTACGCTGAATACAAAGCTGCAATCTGTTGTTCAAAATATTAATCCGTTAAAAAGTTATTAGGAGTTTTTGAAACTAATTTTTGCATACATCTTAATGGCCGAAAATTGATAATTTGTTAAAAGTCTTAACTATCTATATAAACTATATATCAGTAGTCTTAACGTCATATAAAAATGTGTACAAAACTTGTTTTTGAATATTTCTAATAACTTTTTAACGGATTAAGATTTTGAAAAACAGATTGCAGCATCGTATCCAGCGTAAAAAAATGGTTTGAAAAGATCGGTCACAACCCCACCTTTACATTTGAAAATAATGGCCATGTTTCAAAAATGGCGGCTGAAGGACATCGATGGGCCTCTCAGAGTACATATGTTACGCTCAATAATACTAGAAATGCCCACAACCCGACATGGGCAATCACTTTTGCTCGCATCACCTTGTGGGTATTTTGGATTTGCTCAATCACCGAAGAACGTTTCGACTTCGGCATTTGAGTAAATCAGTAAATCACAACGCGTGCTTCGGCCAATGTCCGACTAAAACGCTCACTCCGCGACGTGGGTAAATTTCACACTTTCCGCATCGTGAAGTGGGTAAAGTCCGAATTCGGAGTTTGAGTGTAACATATACTTAACGTTGAAACAGGAGAAAAACAAATATAGGCCTATAGTTAACCGTATATTTTAATTGACCAAATGCACTGAATTTAGAGAAAATAAATATAATTAAAATGCACGTTTAAAAGGATTAATTGACCAAGTCAACACATATTCTTCGTTTGTCAAAACTGTGGAAATACTGTAACCAATTAATTAGGTTTTTACTCATAAGACAATATTCAATTGTTTTTATTTAGTTTAGGTCCCGCATTCATAGCTTACTAGGGAACCCGTGCGGCTCAAATGAGCCGCATGTTGCAACAAAGTTTTTCCAGCATTGAGAGTTGAAGAACACTGTCTCACTTACTGATAACCTGGGTTAAGTAATTTAAGTTGGGTCATTTTATTTCTTCGATTTGAGACATCCCCATAAATCAAAACAATTTCTCCGTAGACAATCCAGATAAGTGGGGTGATATCAACCATTTCATGTGCTCTATTTTTTACCCACAAACTCTGGGTTACTAACTGGACAGCCATAATCTGCTTTAAATAGGCTAAAGCAGCAACACCATTGAAAGTTGGTTAACGTATATTAACGTGTTTTCTGTCAGTGACAGTATATGTCCCGCATCAGAACGTTCTCACGTTGTTCAGTGGAGTTTCTCTTAATACCTGTCCCAAATTTTTGAAAGTATGGATTCATTTGTCGAAATAGGTTGGAGAACCGTGACAACACTATGTGGTTCGTATATTTTTTCACTTCCAAAGTAAGTTGCATAGCAGAACTGGCTAATATTATCACCAAATATATCAACCAAGCAATATATCACCAAAGTGAATGTGTATCTGGATGGGTATCTGTTAGACCAGACCTCTCTTTTTCTACTCTCATTATACGCATAAGATGTTAATTACTGTATTAAATGTCTCCTCCTCCTATTTCAACATTTCATCTTTGAACTTGAGGAATTTTCTGTTCTTCCAAACAAAACTGATTAACTGTTTTACTTGGTCTTAAAAACAGCTGTTTTTTGTTATTAAATTTGTTCTGTGTATTTCTTATGGGGAAACCCCGACCTTTGAGAGGGTCTCACGCCCTCAAGAGTAGGAATTTCAAAATTATAAAACCTTATTGCAAAACTACATATTCAGACGAATCTTTTGACACCTTAAACGTTGAAATTGGTCTACAAATAAGGGAGGAGTTGCGTTAACAAAAAACAGCTATATATGTATAGATAGATAGATAGATATAATGATTTGATAATCAGCTTAAATGTAATAAATAATAAAATAAATAATAAAATAAATAATAATAAAAAATAAAAAAAAATTAAAAAAAAAATAATAATTAATAAATAATATGGTAATTGTTTATTAGACTCCTAAATATATACGTATATATTTAATTGGGTTGTTGGGTGCTTCTATGGCTTTGACCATACAGTAAATAATTATGTACTAATCTTTGTTATAAAGGTATTTTTTTGTTTGTTTCCTACACAAATTTACTTACTGTTGTAAACTTGTAAGAGTTTTCAACAACGGAACTATAATTATGTTTCGCTATTTACGCCTTCACATGGTTTCTTGCAACGCGCACACCAACCAGTACTGCGTAGGTTTTCACTTATTGAAGGCGAAACATTACATCTGTCTTTACATTTAGTTGGGTCTATAATACGACAATACTGTACCATCTCGTTACTATTGTTCTTTGTCATTAAGTAAGCATTTCGTTACTTCTTTGTCTACATTCTTTTGATAATTCGTTATGAGTATAGTTGTTATTGTAATAATCTATGTGATAAAAGTTGTATATAATCTTTGTGTGCATCATTAGGAATTTTATTGTGGTATCTAAAATATCGTAACCGCTCATAAATTCTTTTATAATTCATCAGCTACTTTACTGGACAAATGAAAAAAAAAATACTGATTAGATCGTATATACTAAATAAGAAACAGCTCGACCAAAGATGAAATTGCAATGACAAAATTGTACGTATTCATGCTTTTGTAAATGTTTTTCACTGACAACACGACATGAGCAGGTCGTTGACAGCGTAAAATATTATTTAGATTAACAAATATTTCGTTTTGCAATTTATTGTTACAAGACGACCAGACAATGAGTAGTCAGAAATCTACTGTTTT